AGGATTAAAATTCTTCCAAGAATTTAAATTCTAATTGGCTTTACAACTACTATTTTCACGTTGACATATGACCTTTCATATGAAAATCTTAAGAGGAATGTGTTCTTTTAAGTTTCAAAATAAGTCCGTGCTTACAAAAATTATTAGTAGGTACATGTTGAAGTACCTCAAAGTTTTCGTGGAAATTGTATTCCTTTAGAAAGGCTTCGAATTTTAAAATGTCCTGTTTGTCATATCAATAAATCGTCAAGAGACTTGGATTATCAGAAAGTTACGATAGTGTGCTAGACGATACTCAGCATGATCCATTTTTTTACTAAATCCCACGCCACCGAGATTTACAAAATATACATGTGACCACATTTTTAAAAGTAGAAAGCGGGACAAATCGAAAACAGTCCCGGTTTATTGGCTGGGCGTTTGGGGCGGGCGTTCAGGGGTCTGGACCCCATAGCAATTAAACAATATCAATTAGGTAAAAATTTAAACAATACGTTCCCCAATATTTTAACTTTACTTCAAATTTAGATACCAATTTATAATGCTTTGAACGAGAGGTCTTTTTCAGCCTAAAGAATAAAGACAGATTTTAGGTTAAAACGAGGTCAAGAAAACTTAGATATTAACACTAACACATTAACACTAACACATTAACACTAACACATTAACACTAACACATTAACACTAACACATTAACACTAACACATTAACACTAACACATTAACACTAACACATTAACACTAACACATTAACACTAACACATTAACACTAACACATTAACACTAACACATTAACACTAACACATTAACACTAACACATTAACACTAACACATTAACACTAACACATTAACACTAACACATTAACACTAACACATTAACACTAACACATTAACACTAACACATTAACACTAACACATTAACACTAACACATTAACACTAACACATTAACACTAACACATTAACACTAACACATTAACACTAACACATTAACACTAACACATTAACACTAACACATTAACACTAACACATTAACACTAACACTAACACATTAACACTAACACTAACACATTAACACTAACACATTAACACTAACACATTAACACTAACACATTAACACTAACACATTAACACTAACACATTAACACTAACACATTAACACTAACACTAACACATTAACACTATTAGACAGGGTAGGGTGTTCACCAAATAATGGGCTATAGAAAAACTTAAATCTCTGATTAAATATAAAAAGATTAAACGAAACATGCTTAGGTAAAATGTTCTATCTCGTTTTCGTAATAAAGGGAGTTAAAGTTGAACATTTTTAAAAATTATTAATGGGTATATTTTTTTATTACTCAGTATACTTTTACAACATTTGGTGTCATAAGATATATTATTTTGAATTTCTGAAATTTTAAATTTTTCATTTTTTATTCATAAGTTCCCATCAAGAGTACTTGATTTATTTAACACAATTCAAAAAAATAAAAATTATAGTCCGAATAAGAATTTAGACAATGACGTAAAATGTAAAGAGGTTGAAGATGTTTGTTACTCATGCCGTACGCCACTGCCAAACTTTATTTGTCTACTCTGTTTAGTAACACCAAAAATGTTTGCCGAATTAAATAAAATTATATTGAGTAATAAAAAAAAATATTGCCATTAAATTTTCTACGAATTTTAAATTTTAACATTTCCGATACGAAAAACATTTTACCTAAACATGTTTCGTTTAATGTTCTTATTTTTAATAAGAAAATGTACAGTTGTCTTTGTCCCATTTTTTACCTGTATAATAGAAAATGAACTGAATCAACTGAATTGTGATAGTATTTTATGTCAGTTGGCCAGAAATGAGCGATGTAATAATTTCGGTGGTGGTGACCAGCTATCTCAGGCCCCCTAGCCCCCTTAGCTCCCTCCAGATACTAATGCTACGCTAAGTCAAGAAAAAAAGTAAAATAATGTTTGTCTTGTGTATTTTTTTAATGTTTGTTTAGTTGTTTTATTTCTGTGTTGTTTTTTTTTTGTATATTTAGAAATGTTTTCGTTTTTGTTTTTAAATTTATTTTTCTAGTTTTTACAATAAATATTAATGACAGCATGTTCCACTTGTTAAAAAAGCTGACAACTAATAGCAATGAAGGGGACCCCTAAATATTTAGCGCCCAAGGTCCCAACTTAGGTTAAACCGGCACTGCTCTCACTCTTTCTCTATCTATTACTCTCTCACTCCGTCCCCACTCTGATTTCTGTTGCCATGACGCCATCACAGCTGATCACAGAGACTCGTTTGTGGCGTATTATTTACAACCCCACTATGCATAAAAACGTTAAATTAATGAGAACTTTACATCACATTGCTATATTGTAACTATCATGTTTACTCTTGTTTTCATCTATAGGACGCACTCATAGGGAAGTTTACTTTTGTGATGAAACAATGTAGACGTTGCGGTGATATTATAGCGCTACCTGGTTACGTTATTGAACTTCGAGCTTTTCAATTAGGAGTAAGTAATAGGCTCGCTCGAGCTGCAGTGTCTGAACGACCCACATTGTTCGAAAAAGGATGAACTGAGAAATTTACGTGAGAATAATGTTGACTTCGCGTCAACAATCTGCTCGAATCGTCAGCTCCAGTCTTAAGCGAACTAGAGAAATTCATAAGCGTGCCAGCCAAAAATTATTTTTCTCCCAGGCCCTCGCATTTAACTGAAGTAACTGAACACGGTGCGCGCGTCGTAGCCGTAGCTACATAATTATATTTGTGAATTCTACGGGGATGTTTTGCCGATCACAGAGATGCGAGAGATTTTTTTATTTTCAGGAAACTTCAAGTATTTTAATATATTTTTTTATGTTTAAAATATAATTTTGTGAGCTGACCTTTGCAGACTTGATCTTAATTTGAACGGGAATTAGATTGGATGACAAAATGTTTAACTACATTTTTTTTAATGTAAAAAGATTAAGATACAAAAATATTATAATTATATTTATAATCTTCAGATATTTAAGAACTTAATTATAGTTTTAATTTAATACTTTTTAAATAAACGAAATAAGATAGAAATGTGCGGTTTCAACCACTGAGTTTCAAATTTCGAAAAGTTTTTTTCCTAAGCACATTAATTTTTTTTTCATTTATACAGAACAAAGAAAAAATTTGCCTATTTTCAACTAAAAATAACTTGACTTATTTAAATATGTATTATGTATATTTTTAAACCATTCGAAAGCTGAGTTCTTTTGCTTTTAAAAAATGCTAGCATTTGCAGTTTAATTTTCACAAATAAAGAAGATACGCGACTTTTTGTGAGTGCGTGCATTCTCAATAATTTCCATATTGCCATTAGATATTCAATTTTTTAAAGAACGCATTTTCTGCTTTTTTTATTTTTTTTTTTTCGTTTGTATACTGAAATGAGTAAAACTTACCGAAATATTTCAGTATATAAATGACCAAAAAAATTAAACATGCAGAAAATACGTACTTTAAAAAATTGAAAAGCTATGCGATAATCAAATTAATGTAATTATTAATTATTTGTACAACTTAAAATGCAAATGTTGGCATTTTTTAAAAGCTAAGGAACTCAGCTTTCGAATGGTTTTAAAAATATGCAGGGTGTTCAATTTAAACAAGTCAATTTATTTTTTAGTTGAAAATAGGCAAATTTTTTCCTTGCCCTGTATAAATGGGAAAATTTGCTAATGTGATTGGGTAAAAACTTTTCGAAATTTAAAACTCATTGGTCAAAACCGCACATTTTTATCTAATTTCTTTTTAGTCAATAATCACGTTTAAGATTATATAAATTCCTCCCTTAAAATATTGGGAAGTGGCAGTAAATAATTGAGGATTTTAATATAAATTGATTTAATACTGCCTATCGTTTTATTAAAAAATATTTTACTATGGAGTTTTTCTTCAACTTTTTTAATTCATCGAGTATCCAAATTCAGATTGTTTAAATTCGTTGGAATAAAAAATATCTTTAGGTATTTATTTTAAATATATTAGACATTACTCTCTTTTATAGCACATCATTTTTACCTATCTGTTTAGGATTTTTATTCAATATATTGCTACCATAACTTATGTATATTATATAAATTTAATTAAATACGGTATAATATAGGAAATAGGAATTTCAAAAACCACATAGAAGTTATATGACATCTCTAATTATTTCTTTTAAATAAGCATCGTAATAAAAAAAAATTATTTTAGGATACATTTTGTTCTTCCAAAACTCATCATCTCTGCAAATTTCTTCAACTTGGATAGGTCCTAAAGGAGCCTAAGTTTAATGGTTTAAAAAAATTTAAATTTTTTTTGTCAGATTAGGCGAATCCCTCTAGATAATCGTCAGATTATGAGACAGCACGTCTAGGACATAAAGATGAACCATATATATCTTAATCTGTTGCGCTTGAGTATTTTAAAATGGCAAATTTTTTTTGCACATTATAATACTGGCCGCGAGTTTGCGTCACATCGAAATCGTCGCGCTCAATTAAATTTTTTTTTATTTTCAATCCTTACGTTCAACCACCCGCATCATGCAAATGATCAGTTTAACATACGTTCATTATTAAAAATACGTAAGACATTGATGCTATCAATATCTGACTCCCCTACTATTAAATAGATCGGGTGGGGATAGCAACAGTAATGCGTTTAAAAAATTGTAAGCCCGTTAATAATTATACATAAAATTAATTAAATTCTTTTGAACTTAGGGCCAGTCTATTCACCTCTGAATAAAGTTAAAAGTAACTACTTGCTGATTAAACTATAGGGCTATTGTTTGTTAATCTCTCATGTAAATTGACATGTAACTTAACTCAGAGGTGAAAAAATCGCTCCTTAGTTTAGTGTCACTCAGCTCTACTACATATTATAAATGTTGTCTCAACAAATATTCATTAAATACATTGTCTCAAAATTAAACAATGTTAATAATTTATTATGTTAAAATATTCACCTGTATGTATGGGATATTTTCCCGTGAGGAAAGCAGCTCTTGATGGGGAACACAATGCTTGAGTGTAATGCCTATTTAAAATTACTCCATTGTAGGCTAAAGCATCTATATTAGGAGTTGGAATTTCATCACTGCCATGGAATCCTGCATCATTGAAGCCCTAAAAAATTAAATAATTGTCTTTGATATTTAAAATTTTTACATAAAGAGGATTGACTAACGTTTCGTGGTATTTTAGGGAGGATTTTAGTTAATTAAATTCGTTTTAGAAATAATTGATTTTGTAGGTTCTCAAATTAGCTGACAGTTGAAAGTATCAGCTATAAGTTGTGAAACAATTTAAATTTCGAAAATAAACTGAAACTTCAATATTTTGCACAAGCCATTTTGTGCTCTTTACCATTTTTTACTCCTAATGCCGTCTCTGTTATTTCTAGATTCAACTATAGATTTTTATGTTACCCTTTCTCGCTGTGAAATATCTAGCCTACAAACGCCAATATATTATCTCAGGTGAGTCCCGACTCGACGATGATTCGTTAAAACTAACGATCAGGGATAGTAACGTAAACCGACGCGATCAGCTACTTTCCATTTTTCCGCGTTCAATAAATTTCTCACCACAACGAAGAGATATTTAGAGACATTAAGTATTAACTCGTAAACAGTGGCGGCTGGAAGTAATTTAAAATGGGTGTTCAATTTTTTTCCAATAATTTAAGCTAAGTTCGGTTCAAAACTTTGTACCAGCGCCAAATATCGCTGTTGTTTTATTAGGGTTTGTATTAAGGTGATTACAGCACCCCCTTATAATTTTCGGACAAGCATATCTCAAAAAGTATTTTTTTTTGAAAATTAAAATTTTGGCAAAATAAATAAAAAATATCTAGAATATGCTTATATTTTAAAGTTTTAATTATTTCGAGTTTCCAAGAAAAAAAATCAACGGGCTTTAAATTTTGAAATATCATAATGAAAATAAATGCGTTCCTCAACAGCACTATTCTTAATATAATCCCCAAATTTAAGCTCTTAATATCTTGTTAATGAGTTTTTAAAATTCGGCGAAATTAGTGGCTAAAACGCCTCGTTAAATGCTGCTTTCTGTTGTAACGCGTCTGTAACTATCGTATCGTACACTCTGTCATCATTTGTTTCTTGCGACGATTTACACTAGTTTAAACCAGAAAATAGCACTTAACGAGGCGTTTTGGCCACTAATTTCGGCGAATTTTAAAAAATCATTAACAAAAGATTTAGAGCTTAAATTTGGGGATTATATTAAGAATACTACTGTTGAGGAATGCATTTATTTTCATTATGATATTTTAAAATTTAAAGCCCCTTGATTTTTTTTGGAAACTGGAAGGAATTAGAACTTTAAAATATATGCATATTGTAGATATTATTGCCTAATATATTTTGCCAAAATTTTAATTTTAAAAAAAAATACTTTTTGAGATATCCTTGTCCGAAAATTATAAGGGGTGCTGTAATCACCTTAAGTGTGTTATCAATATCATACTGTTTTTAAACACCACAACTTTTAACTAACTTGCTGTACTACAGTATTATTTCTAATTAATCGATTATTTCAAAATAATCGATTAATAGAAGAAAATAGAATATTTTTAAATAATCGATAATAATAGATTATTTCAAATAATCGATTACTTATTTTGATAATCGCCTAACCCTAGTCATAACCTAACGTTTTTAGCAATTATTTTTAGCAATAAAATTATTTGGAAATTTGGATCAAATATAGTCCGGGATGTAATGACAGATTTCAATAAACCATTTTCGCAAGCTTAATGTTTTGAATATAAGTTATTTAATTAGCATCTAACAGTAAAATCATCGTCTTTCATTCCAGTTGTACGACAGGGGGTTGCGGGAGGGTTGTGATTCCAGTAAAAAATTATAAAAACAAGTCATTTTCGCATTGATGAAACTTGGTGTACACATTGATATGAACATAAAAATATTAGAAAATATCGTCTTCCACCAGAATTGTACAACAAACTACGTCTTCCAACCACATGAATAGGCGTAAAAAAAAATATAAAAGAAATATAGTCGCAAAGGTGAAAAAAAAGTGTGATGCTTATTTTTGTAGTAAGAAAAATAAAAATAATAGTCTTCCACCAATTAAACACAACGAAGGTCGTCTTCCAAGCTGATAAAGGTGTTCTCTACGCGACCACTTTGAACACATACATTTAGATATATTTTACATTTCTAATAAATCTGATTTGACTAAATTAATTCTTTTTTACGATATGGTCAGGCTTATCCCCTAGACAGGGATACCTGTCGTTGAAAAACTCTTAGAATTTAATTCATATCTCGGACTACCCCAAAAAATTACTACCGACAGTGGAACAGAATTAAAAAGTTTCGATTTAGAAGATTTTTGTAAACTACATACGCCATATCCAATTAAATATCATTACCGCAAAAAATAGTAATTCAAATTCCCCAATGAATTGGTTTCATTCAAGTCTATTAGAACATTATAGATGTTGACAAGAAAAAAAAACATTTCACAACAGATTGACAAATTAAAAATTCTGTATTTTGTTATAATAATAGTATAAATTCTATGATAAAGTTTACGCCATTTGAAATAATTCAAGGACACATTGATAATCCAAATCCGTTTGATTTAGACGATCACTGAATAATATCTAATTATGTAAAAGATCATAAACAAATTAGGAAACAGATGTATAACAAAATTAAACAACGTAACGAAGAAGTAGAAGAACACTTAATAAACAAATTAAATGAAAAGAGATCTGAACCAGATAACTAAGAAATAAAAAATTACCAAAATTTAAAAAGGCAAATGTCATTGAAGATAAAGGTATTTTAATAAAAACGGATAGGGGTACTTATCATAAAAAAATTGTTAAAAAACCGAAAAATAATTTATAAAAAGTGTTACAGGATACCAACGAAAATGAAATCCATTTTGATAACGACGCTGTTCCAAGTATAAGTTCTACAGTTCATTTTGAATCGATAAAACAGTATAGTTCATGTTAATGCAACTAACCCTCTATCTTATCATAGCTTATCACAAAATATCATAACAAGAACAGAATATCTAATAATTACTCTTTAGAAAAAGACTAATAATTTAATTCCTCATGTAAGACATAAAAGAGCTCTAATAAATGCAATTGGAAAAACTAACAAATGGCTATTTGGAAATCTTGATTCTGATGACGAAAATATATAATAATACTATTAAAATATTGCAAGTAAAACAAAAAAATATTATCAATGATCATTATAATAAATCAAACACAATCTTAGGTAAAAATCAAGAAAAATTTAAAGTTGATATGGAAAAAATTCAAGCAGCTATTTATAATAGCTGCACTTAAAGGTTATATCAATTCTCAGGCCATTATATCACAAATTGATTTAGATTGTCAAATGGCAAGATAATTTAGAAAATGCTATAACCTTTGTAAAATTAAATACTTTACATAATTCTATAGTTTTCAGATCAGACATAAAAAACATGATAAAATATTTACATAAAATATACAGGGTGATTCATAACTATTGGGACATAGGCTAAGGACAGGTTATTTGGACCAAAATATGGCGATTGGACCAAATATACCTTTACAAAATATGGCTGTGGAATAAGATACAGGGCGTTAAAGTTGAATTTTTTTTTCGTTTTTTTTTCTGATAATGTCACTGTTTATTTATGAATTGTTATCAAAATCGACACAAAGGCATATCTTTGAAAAAGGAATATTATTTTATGTAATACTTCACATTTTGTTACAGGGGGCGTGAATGATTCCTGATGATGAAATTAGGTGGTAACTTTTTTTGGCGAAACTTTTTAGTGCTTTTGATTAGAAAATGTTACTTAAAAATTATTTCTACGTAATATTGGTACTCTTGTTTAAACACGATAATTTCACCTGTTTTCAAGAAAAACGTAATTGAACAGTTCAATGTCTCAGAAGGGGATTCCAAATAACACAATAAGAAAACTTGTAACGTAAGGCTTCTATTTCAACGGTAAAGCAAAATTAAAAACAATTTAACATAAAAAAAGCAAACTAAAATTAAATGTTCAATGTGACCTCCTCCGACTTCTATGCCTTTTCTAATTCTTTTAATAAAGGACTTTCGGATGGCAAAGAAAATATTATTCTGTCCCCTTATAAAATTACCCGCATTTTGTATGTTCCTCCAGAGTTCGTCTCGTGAATTAATTTCCTGGGTATAAACTAAGGACTTCATATGTCCCCATACATAAAAATCAAGAGGGTTATAGTCAGGACTTCTTGGTGGCCATTCAAAATTACTTCCTCTGCCAATCCAACGTTGAGTAAATATGTCACTTAGATAATTTCTAACAACTAATGGGAAATGAGGTGGAGCTCCATCCTGCATAAACCACATTTTCCTTCTTACATCTAGTGGCATATCATCCAAAATATTTCTAAAAATATTTTGCAAAAAAAATAAATAGGAATCTCCATTTAAATTTGGAGGAAGACGATATGGCCCTAGTAGTTGGTCGCCTATAATCCCACACCAAATATTAAATTTAAATTAATGTTGAAAATGTCTTTCTTTACGAGCATGCGGGTTTTCTTCTTCCCAGTGATGACTGTTTCGATAATTAAAAACACCTCGTCTAGTAAAACTTCATCGGTGAACATAATATTTTTAATAAAATTTCGGTCATCATTATGTTTGTTGAGAATACGTTGGCAGAACTGTAACCGTCTTGGGAGATCTCTTGGAAGCAAATTTTGAACAGGAGTGAAGCGATAAGGATGAAACTTTTCTTTTTTTAAAACTCAGTTGACGTGAACTTAATTCAGGATTTTCATCTACTCGAACCAAAATTTCATCTTCTTCATTGGGTGTGATTTGTTTCGGACGACCACCCAGATTTTTACTATGAAATGCCCCGTTTTCACCCAAACGATGAAATAGATTTGCAAAAGTTTTGTGATTTGGTTGCCTTCTGTCTGGATATAACAATTCATACCTTCTGGCTGCCATGCGACCGCAAAAATTTTCTTGTGCATATACACAAACCATATCCCGCATTTCTTCATTCGTAAAATGATTGTGACGAGGCATTTCAGTCAAAAAAGCTTTAAAAAATGCAACAATAGACTATAATCTTACAGCAAAATAATTCATTGGCAAGAACTGACATTTACCAGACACAATTATCTGACAGTCCAAAGCACACTTTTCATAAATAAAATATTTTTTGAAATATCCTTCTGAGACTCTGAACTGTTCAATTGCGTTTTTCTCGAAAACATGTGAAATTATCGTGTTTAAACAAGAGTACCAATATTACGTAGAAATGATGTTTACGTAATATTTTCTAATAAAAAGCACTAAAAAGTTTCGGCAAAAAAACTTACCACCTAATTTCATCATCAGGAATCATTCTCATGGCGCCCCCTGTAGAAAAATGTGAAATAATACATAAAATAATATCCCTTGTCCAAAGATATGCCTTTGAGCCGATTTTGATAACAATTCATAAATATACAGTGAGATTATAAAAAAAAAACGAAAAAAAAAATTCAACTTTAACGCCCTGTATCTTATTCCACAGCCTTATTTTATTAAGGTATATTTGGTCCTATCGCCATATTTTGATCTAAATAACCTGCCCTTAATCTATGTCCCAATAGTTATGAATCACTCTGTATAATGTTGATCAAATTCCGAAATTTACAAATTTAATAACGTATTATCAGTTCTTAGGAACGCAAATATCATTTTTCAGAATCTAAGTTAATTTTTGTAATACATTTTCCTATTTTGAAAGTAATACTTTTGAATTTTATCATTTATTCCCAATTATCCAAAACCAAAAAATGTATACACCTTTATTCCCTTATTTGGCACGAAAACATCAAGATACACAGTTTGAACGAGAAGAATGTCCATCCCTTGAAGAAATCTATTATTGTGAATATAATTTCATCCCCAGAGATAACTGTACTCTCCAACGTTTTGAAAAAAACTTAGATAAATTGTCATATTTTAAATGTTAATTTAGAAGAATTAGTATTCAAACAAATTGTAGTCGATGAATTCTTAATAATCCCCTGAAAACCTGAGCAAATTCTTTTAAAATATAACAGTAACCAGTATAGACATAAGGTCACCTGTAATAATCAATATACCAAAATTATGTGAAATTTGGACCAATGATATCAACAACATTCAATTGAGCAGAGGAAAGCCATTCATTTTACCGAAGATCGACATGAAGAAAATTCAAACTTCAAAATCTTATCAAACTTCTAATATAACTAAATTAAAACGAAAAATATTTCAAACTCAAATGTGATTAAGACCTAAAATAAAAATATAAATAAAGCCAATATCACATAAATTACGAGCGACCGTTTCCCTTTAGAAAACAACTGCTCCTTTGGCTAATTCCGTAACAGGTATTAAATTATATCCAAAGGAGAGACGGCAGAGATAGAAAATTAAATTTCAACACTCTTTCTACCTTTGATTTTGCTCACTACGGAGAACATCATTCTTGGACCGGTTTCGTCCTTATTAGGACTCTTCAGCAAGAAATAGATAGGTTCTTAATTCCAGTCTCTAATGGGATTAACAAATGCTACACTATTCACCAGTATACAATAAAGTTAGTTACTTAACCATATGGAAAACATTTTTATTATTAATTTTAGGAAAAAAAGTTATTCCCGATAAAAAGTCCTGCATGACCCAAAACCTAAAATACAGTCATCACATATCAAATTTTTCAAGCCGTATACGAGGTTTGTCAAAAAATATGAATTTTGCTCAAGAGTAAAGTACGTTTATTTTTGACAAAATCGAAAATTTTCATTAAAAAAAGTTGATTAGAATTAAATATTACATTCAAATATGCAATTACACCGATCTATCTGAAAAAACAGATTTTCTTACTTTTTATAAACTCTACACATTGATTGTAAATATATGAAAACGTTATAAATTACGTTAGCTACTATAAACATGATACGCTTTCCTTTTGTTGATGTTTGTGAAGAATTTAGCAAATTTCCTCATGAAAATTTTCGATTTTGTAAAAAAATAAACGTATTTTATTTTTATTGAAAATAATCTATTATTTTTGATAAATCGATTATTTAATTAATCGATTATCGATTTTTCTAAAAAACAATTATTCGATTAATCGATTACTAATCGAGGAAAATTACATCAAGTATAGACAGGTACTTGAATTCTAAAAAATTATTACAACTAACTTACCATATCATCTGCCATAATTACGATGATATTCGGCTTCTGAGTATCCATTAAGCCAACACCGAAAAGTAGATGTAACATAAACCACCTCAACACCATTTTTCTTAATTTAATTTCTTTTATTCACACTTCCTCACTGCAAGCTATGTTTACTTAAATAGGGACCGCTTATATGTAGTATTGATTGATGTTTATCGCTTTTTCGGAAGAACAATGATTTAAGTGAAAATTCTGAAACTTAATCGCAAATTAACGTATGGAAATAATCAGTGGAAACTTCGAGAAAGCAAATTTATTCTAGTTTCAGATAGTACTACTTATTTTATACTTTTTGAATTAATTTAAGACTTATAGGCCTTAAAAGTAAAAATTTGCATTTGCGTCATTGTTCTTTTGGAGAAGCGATACGTTGGGATCAATACTCGAATTCGGGAAATATCCGAATAGTGCAGGGCATAGTGGCGCATTCGTTTAAAAAATTGTTTTAATTCGTATTTTTTTTTAAATGTCCGGAAGGCTTTCCTGATTATAAAAGTGTAAGATGACACTCGATATCTGTTGATGTTATTGTTTAAACAACGAAAAATTAATTAAGCCAGAAAAAATGCATTTTTTGCAATGATTTAATTTTTTTTTATATTCTTTAGGATATTTCGAATAAAAAAAGTCCTTACACCCATCATCGTATCTTTAACCCTTTAATTGTTGTGAATGTTTTAAAATCCGAAAATGACGAAAATTCTAATTTTCTTGAATTAAATAATATACCTTAAAATTTAAAATGCTATAATTTTAAATTTTTTACCGAATATTCTAACTATAATAAACAAAATAACCTAAATAAATTTTCAAAATTTTGTTTGTTGTTATGTTTTTTTTTACGTTATAACAATATGCTTCCTACGCGCGTGTACTTTTATAGAGAAGTACTTCTATCTCACTTTCCAACTCAATGTATAAGATGGGTAAGAGAAAGCCCGATGACGCGCTGAATCAATTTTTTGCTGTTTTTCAGAGGTAAAAGTTTAAAAAAAATATTATTAACATTTTTCATAACACTTTGTTATATTTGCCGATTAATAGTTTTGTATCATGTGATTTTTTTTTACTTTTTTATTTATTAAAGTTAACAGAAACATTTATTTTTAACATTTATTTTTATTCATGAAAAAATTATTTTCAGATACTGCCTGAGAAGTAAAATCTTCTTCAACCTTTTTTTTTTTTTTCAATACGATAAAAAGGCCAAATGCACTTGTCGTGATCCGTGAAAAATTTCTACCTGTTACAATGAACATATCCAACCCTTTTTCCATTTAACAAAAATAAGAAAAAAAAATGTTTCCATGCACGTCGGATGCTTTGAAATTGCATACTTTACGAGCTTCGTTTCAGACTTATATTTGGAGGAATTCAAATCAATTTCAATATGAACCTTTAGATTTCTCTGGTTTTGGTTATGTTTTCTGTGATAACCAAATAAAGCCACTATATTTAACAAAACCGCCATTACCTGAAGACTAAGCAAAACCGTGCAACTGTAAAAAAAATTGTGCAACGAAAGCTTGTTCGTGTCAAAAACTAAATATGACGTGTGTGGTATTATGCGGATGTTTAATTGAATGTTGCCAAAATCAATTTCATGTAAAAACTAGTTAGATGTACAAACTATAATTTTATGTAAACATTTTTTTAATAAATGAATATTATTATTAAATAATCATAGTGGAAAAGAATTAAGAACCATAGAAAAAATTGAATACATATATATTGCGTACTCTGTTTTAAAATAAAAACCAGGTGAGTCAACTATGCTCATCGTAACAGGTAGAAATTTCCCTTGAATTACGGCAGGTATGTTTGTCTTCTATCTTATTGGAAAAAAGTGAGAAAAATTTATTTTTTAGACAGCTCTTGGCAATGATTTTTTTTTGTGGATGGAACATTTCTATTAACTTTAATGAATAAAAAAGTTATCAAAAGTATCTAAAAAAGTAAAAAAAAATCACATGATACAAAACTATTAATCGGCAAATATAACAAAGTGTTATGAAAAATGTTAATAATAATTTTTTTAAACTTATTACCGCTGAAAAACAGCACCAAATTGATTTAGCGCGTCATCGGGCTTTCTCTTGCAAATCTTATACATTGAGTTGGAAGTGAGATAGAAGTACTTCTCTCTAAAAGTACACGCGCGTAGGAAGCATCTTGTTATAACGTAAAAAAAAACATAACAACAAACAAAATTTTGAAAATTTATTTAGGTAATTTTGTTTATTATAATTTGAATATTCGGTAAAAAATTTAAAATTATATCATTTTAAATTTTAAGGTATATTATTAAATTCAAGAAAATTTGAATTGTCATCAATTTTGGATTTTAAAAAATTAAAGGGTTGAAGATACGATGATGTGCGTAAGAACTTTTTTATTCGAAATATCCTAAAGAATATAAAAAAATTAATTCATTGCAAAAAATGCATTTTTTCTGGCTTAATTAATTTTTTGTTGTTTAAATAATAACATCAACAGATATCGAGTGTCATCTTACACTTTTATAATCAGGAAAGCCTTCCGAACATTAAAAAAAAAAATACGAATTAAAACAATTTTGCAAACGAATGCGCCAGTATGCTCTGGTCTAGAACCAAAAATGCACGAAATTAGAAAAGTTTTGTGTGACGAATACCTTCCAAACCCGAAATTTATTATATATGGAAATTTCCGAAAGACGTCACAAAATTTGGAAACAGCATTATTGGCATGGGATATAGAAAATTTTAGAATATAATAGTAGTTAGGAGATATGTTTTTGTTTTTGAAAAGGATTTTTGATGAATGATTAATAATTTATTATTGATGTAAAAAGTTAGATAGGAAAATATGAAATATTGAATTTATTTAATTTCAAAATAAGATTAATATATTAGAACAATGAAGGATTGTTAATGATTGGAAGAAAAGAAAGAAAAATATATAAAAATATATGAAGAAAATTTTATTTAAAAATATGAAGAAGAAAGCAGGAGTCAGTAAAAATAGCAGATAAGCAAAGAGAGTTAAAGAAAAACATACAGGTAGAGACAGGAAGACAATCAGATACAGACAAATACAATGAAAGGCGGACAAGCAGCGGCAGGACAAAAGCAACAGCAGTAGCAGCAGAAGAATAATAAGAAGGAAGAAGAAAAATTATACGTTTTTAATTTTTTTACTAAATTTTTAATATCTTTCAGATTTGTTTAAACCCACACCAATATTATGATTTTTGTTGATTGCAACCAGAGATAGCAGGAGGTTTTCATCTCAATAATATACAGAGTGGCCCAAAAGTCTGGAAATGGCCAATTATCTCGTAAATTGCTAGTCCTAATTGTACAAAATTTGGGGTACACCTATTTTGGGATACGGTGATTCCAGATTTGATATTTGCAATGTTGCCAGATTTGCCGTTTCTCTTAAATTATTAGCAACTTTGGTTATTCAAATTCATCACCCTGTATATTCGGTCATTATTGGAATGTCTTATTCAATACGAGTTCAACCGTATGTAACACTTATGATTTTATGTAGTCTAGAAGGTCTTAAATAAATAAAATAAGTCTGGCAACGCCTAATGGTCTCAATAAATTTTTTGATACAAAATATTTTCAACTACATTAAAACGTAACAATTGAAAGATTATAACATTTTTGACATAATGGTTACTTTATCAAGTGTTCAAAATGTGCTCCATTTGTGAGTTGACAGTACCCTAATCGATGGTAGGAATGCGTCTACCATATTTATCCATGATTGTTTTATTTATTTAAGACCTTCCAGAATACATAAAATCATAAGTTACATATGGTTGAACTCGTATTGAATAAGAGATTCCAATAATGACTGAATATACAGGGTGATGAATTTGAAAAACCAAAGTGACTAATAATATAAGAAAAACGACAAATCTGACAACATTGCAAATATCAAATCTTGAATCTGAGTATCCCAAAATAGTTATAACCCAAATTTTGTACAATTAGCGATTAGCGATTTACGAGATAATTGGCGTTTCCAGACTTTTGGGTATATATAAAAGAGGAGGTAGGTTTTTCGACCGGAAAATATTTATTTTTAAGTAAGTGAAGATAATATCAGGTTAGCGGTCAAAAGAAATAAAACTCTTTTCCTTAATTGCTCAATATTTCGCCATTGTTTAATAGCTTTATGAGGAGCAAACTACAAGCTTTTTAAAATGAAACAATACAATAATAAAATAATTTAAAATTACTACTTACAGGATTTGAGTCAATCGATGAAAATTGTAAATAAAAACAACATTACACTTAAACAAACTTTTGGACAGTGGGTACTTTAAAAATTAAACAAGTTAATAAAACTAAAAATAGAAAGTGTAGACTTGAAATAATTATAGGAAGAGAAAACTAAATGATTCTTAATATTGTATAGAGTGATACTTAAATTTGATTAAGAATATTACAATAAATGTTCGTGTAGTCAAACTCATGTCCCGTATTGGTATGATGTTCCACTGCCGCACATTTATTTTTTTTTTTGATAATGCAATCGCTTTTATGTTGAGTCATTCTTTGTTTCAACCATTGTCCCGTTTGTCCTAGATGACATCCATTGCACCCTGAACAGGGCAAACTGTAAACAACATTGCTGTTGAATAACGTTGTTTTGTCCTTTACTTTTGAGAATACGTTCTTGATAATTAGCGGATTGTAAGGAGCAATTTTTAAATTAGAAGCATTATTTTTGAACAGGGGTGTAATACGATGAGTTAAAGAGTGTATTAGAGGAATCCTTTTATCAATTAAGGTAGTTGGTTTTTCTTCATCTGTGGGACCATCGTACAAGTTGTTGTTGTATATTAACTTCTTTAAGATGTTCTTTGGACAGTTTTGTAAACAACGGGTATCCAAGACGAAATGGGCCACGTCGAAGAAGATAGTGAATGACAACATTGTGTATGGACTTCTTCATTCTCCTATCCTATACTTTATCAGATAACATTTGGTTAAAAACAATTATTTTCACTTTAACCGCACGCCTTGCAAACAAACTGAACAAACACGCGATTGTGTGGTTGGCAATACTAATATTGGTGCCAATCTCTTTGATATGTGTCGCAGAAAACAACTGTCAACGAAAACTCTTCAAAATTGGCGCAACATTGGTGCAACATTGGTGCAACATTGGTGCAAAACTTGGTGCCAAAATTGAT